TATTAACTCCCCATCAGTGCTGAGCTTGACACATACATGAGCATGAAGTGAATAGAGGAGTTTATATAAGGGGATTAGGAGAGAGCAAAGGCTCATGTGTAGTATAAAGGCTGTCACGGACTAGTTGGGCTGAATGGTCCATTTCTGTGCCGTATCATAGAATTATAGGAGGCCATTTGGGCCATTGTGTCTGTGACGGCTCTTTGAAAGAGCTATCCAAATAATCCCACTCCCCCGCTCTCTCCCCATAGCTTTGCAAATTTGTCCTCCCCAAATATCTATCCAATTCTCTCTTGAAAGTTGTTATCGAATCTGCTTCTACCACCCTTTCATGCAGTGCTTTCCAGATCTGAACATCTTGCTGTGTGAAAAAATTAGTATCACTCTGTGTATTTCTAAGACATGTGGCAGAACTTGTTGAACAGACTCCCCTTCTGAACCAATAACATCCATGAGATGACTGGGTCAATATTACTTACAATTATTGACACACCACTTCTGAAAATATTCGACCCAAGTAATCAATAGGACCTGTGTGGAAGAGTAAGTGATTTTGCTTTGACCAATATTACTGTGACAGAAGGAGCATACCTGCTTTACCAACTAATCGGTCAGGTGGATAATAATAAGTATAGTATAAGTGCTTATAGTATAAGCATAAAATTCTCATAAAATTCCTCATTTCGATTATATAAGATCACATACGTGTTAGTTGTCAATCTCCAGCCTGCTTCTTACTCATAGTCACATACGTAGTTATGCTGCTTGTTGCATTTTAATATATATTTAGGTTTCTATTGTGCATTTCATGTAATTTTGGAGTGTTCAGTACTGTGCTGAATAATAATTATCATTACGTTTGATATAGGGCATTATCATAGGAGAAATGTCTCAAACTTCTTTGTAGGATTTTACTGTAAACAACAACAACTTGCACTTATTTGCCGCCCTCCACGCAGGGTAGAATCTCAGAATGCTTAACAGTGCCGGAGCCTGACTGAGCCAGGGGGAGTGGGGAGGTGGCTGTAAGCACGGTCGAAGAAGAAAGTTTTCAGGTGGGAATTGAAAGAGGGGAGAGAGGGGGCAAGGTGGAGGGATTAAAGGAGAGTGTTCCAGAGTTTATGGGGCGTAGTGGCTGAAAGCGCGACCTCTGATGGTGGGGCAGAGGGTGTGAGAGATGAGCAGGAGGCCGGTGGCAATTGAGCGGAGGTGCCGGGTGGTGGATTGGGGAGTGAGGAGGTTGGAGAGGTAGGGAGGTTCCAGGGAGGGGAAGGACAGTTGGGGGTTGAACTGGACACCTAGGTTACGCACTGGTTCAGTGAGTCTGAGGGAGAGCCCAGGGAGATTTAGGAGTTGAGCCAAGGTGTATGGCTTCCATCTTGTCCATATTCAGCTCCAGGAAGTTTACACTCATCCAGGTGACCAGTCGGGGGTGGGAGGAGAAACCATTTGCTGAGATGGAATGGAGGCGGTTGGTTAAAATAGGACTCGAACCATACGAGTGCAGTCCCACTAAAGTAGATGAGGGAGGAAAGCTGATGGAAGAGGATGGCATGGTCGACTGTGTCGAATGCGGCAGAGAGATCCAGGAGGACGGGGAGGCAGAGGGAGCCCTGGTCACAGATAGAGAGAATGTCGTTTGTGACTTTGACAAGTGCGGTCTCTGTGCTTGTGGGCAGTCAGGGCGAAAACCAGACTGCAGGGGCTCGAGGAGGGAATGGAGGGAGAGGTGTGACCGAAGTTGAACTACAGCAGTGCATAAAATGTGTAGTGACTGTTTATTTCGGGCAAACCTGGCAGCCGATTGTCCTGTAAAACAGCCATGAATTTAGTGACCATTTAATGAACATTTGGGGGTTTGTGGGCCAGGCCACCGGGAGCAATTCCATTCTCTTTTTGAATAGTGCCACTTGGGCAGGTAGACAGGGCCTCGGTTTCATGTCTCATCCGAAGGACGGCACCTCCGTCAGTAGAATGCTCCCCTGAGCACTGTATTGGAGTGTCAGTCTTGATGGTGGGCTCAATTCCTGAGTTGGGGATTGAAACCACAGTCTTTTGACTAACAGGTGAGAGTGCTACCAACTGAGCCAAGCAGACACCAGACATGACATGGAGAGGAGGTAATTGAATGAATAAAGGCGATGGATTAATTCCGAGACTATTAAGTGATAGAAATTGGATTAATTGCTGCAAAGAAATCAAAGAATATTCTGCTCAAAAGGGTCAAATTTTAAATGACGAAATAAATGACTCATAAGGTTATTGCACTTTTTTGCCATTTTAATTTTTTAACTGCTGCATTTTAGATTGTGGGTAATTCAAACATAACAATAAATTGGCAATTTAGTAACTGACTGCCAAAAATATAAGCCGTCATTCTCGGTGCAAAATGAGCTAGATCACTTCTAATCTATTTGCAGATTAATTTAAAGGTAATTGCCGTTCTGTTTTGTAAAGATCATGTGAACTGTAATTACGTTTTATTTTCCCATTTGCAGCCATTTCAATTCAGCAAACATAATGAAAAATATCACATCTGGGCAACAGCTGTTTGAGTTTCTTGGACCAAACCTTGAAATGCTGTGCCATTCAAGTCAGGGAACTGAAGGGCCATTTGGAGATTTATATAATAACTTGCTTGCTGCTGGAATAGAAATGATGTCTAGCTTGGAAGCTCTACATTAACACTGAAAGGAATCTTTATATTGGAGATCTCCACAAGATAAGTTAGTGAGTTAATTGATATGGACGACTATTGTTCAACTCAGGTTGCATGGTATTGTGTTTAAGGATACAACAACAAAAAACAACAA